TCCTGCTGTGCCATGGCACCCGAACCCCTGCTTAGAGATGAGGAACCTGAGACAGGAGGGAGTTGCGTCGCTTCTCCGAGGACACAGCACTCGTGTGAATGCAAGAACGGTCTCTGGCTGCGTCTGCAGGCCCTTGTTGAACTGACACCAGCCCTGTGGCGGCCCACTGGGTTGTGGGCTCTATTTCCAAGTGAAGTGTGTCCACTAGGGGTGGAGTGGGCCCAGCCTGCCCAGGGAGGGAGCCTTGCCTCATATTCCCAAGTCAGTGTAAGGCAGAGTGAGGGGCTCAGAGCCTGCACCTCCTTCTCCAGGTGGGTGGTGATCTCTGCTGGGTCTGCTGAGTAAAAGCCACTTTGGGTATGTTCGGGTCCTGGGGTCTCTCCCTCTAGCTCTTTGTTGCATGGCTGTCGTCCTTGGGACCCTCAGTAGTGGTTATTTCATGAACTGAAAGGCTGATCATGTCAGCAGCATCTTGCTGTGTGACAGTGTCATGTGTAGTGAATGACTGGTCGTTCTCCATGCTAGGCACCTGCTCTGGATGCTCTCCTGGCCTCTGGCTCCCTGGGGGCACGAGCTGTTCTCAGCCAGCCTCCTGCAGGCTGCGTCTCACCCCTTACACACCGGCATACTCACTCGTGTGGGAGCTAGGGGCTCGCAGGCCATTGGTTTTTGGTTTTTTTGGAGAGGTTTTTGCTATAGGGCGCGTGCGCTTGCCAGACAGAGACAGAGAGACAGAAAGCGAGAAATCACCCCCCAGGGGGGATGGTCACGCCGCAATCCCTTCTCCTCCAATTCTCCTCTCAGGATCTTGGGCACGCACGCACATGCGCCCGGCGTGAGTTTTAAGCCACCGGGTCCGGGACGTGAACCGCGGTTGACTACGTGGGAGTCCAGCGACATAGCCATTACGCCAACTGCTGGTTCCCCAGGCCATTGGTTTTTGAGACTCGGAAAGTGAAGGTAAAGTTCTCTCCTGTTGTGGGTCCAAGCAGGTGATGTAGTGGTTATGTTGTTACATCATTGGATTTCTACACTGCCAACTACGGTTCAAGTCCCGGACCCAGTGGCTTGAAACTCACACTGGGCATGTGTGCATGTGTGCCTAGAATCCCAAAACGAGAATAGAGGGGAAGGGACTGCTGTGTGACCATCCCCCCCAGGGGGTGATCTCTTCTTTCTGTCTCTCAGTCTTTCTCTGTCTCTCTCTCTAGCGAGTACACATACATTATTGCAGGAATCTCTTAAGAAAAAACGTTCCCTCCTGTTGCAGAAGTGATTTGGTTGCCTCCTTACATGCAAATTTAACATTCCTGTCCCTGCTTTTACATGGTGCTTGTCTGTTTTGGATTCCAGGCGAGCTCACACCTTAACTGTGCTGTTCATCCTTACCTGTGCACTTGGCTATGTGACTCTCCTGGAAGAAACACCTCAAGACACAGCCTACAACACCAAGAGGTACTGGCGGCCCACTCCAGGCCTGCTTTCTGGAGCTGGACACCCTGGCCCCAGCACGGTTGGGGTGGGTGGCATGGGTGGGGTGGTAATCTCACTGCAGTTAGGCTGGCCAGGGACTGTGGGGCTTTTGCTGGCATTACCAGAAGGCCAGCCAGGGCTCCCAACGTGCCCCTCGAATGCATCGCCTGGTCCTGAGGGCTGCCCCTGGCTGCTGCGTGGTGCTTCTTGCCCGTGGGCTAGTTAGGTCCTGTTGCTCCTGTCACTGGGCGTGCCCCCACCCATGCTGTGCATGCGGGTTTCCCCCCACCTCGCTGACATCCTTCCTGGGCGGCTCTCTGAGTCTTCCTCTGTGTCCTGCACCCTCGGTGCCAGCTTGCTCCCAGGCCCATCCAGCCTGTGCTGGCACCCGTGTTATGCCCGCTTCCGTCCTCAGGCCAGGCTTCCTTCCTGCCTTTCTCAGGCAGCCCCACCCAGCCCCAGCCCGAGTTGCATGCGGAGCCTCCAGGCATGGCATGCACTGGGCATTCAGAATCAGAGAAGGTGAGGAGCCTGTGCTGCGCCTCGGGCCCCTCCAGGCTGGACCTCCTGGGACTGCCCTCGCTGCGCCGGCTCCCTGTGGGTGCGGAGGCGGGGAGGCTGTTGGCAGGAGCCCTGCGTTTGCCTGGAGGGATTTCTCAGTAGAACCTGGTCTTTCTCTGACTTCATCTGCAGCATGTGGGCATGAGGGTCTGTGGTGAATTCTGGGCAGTGAGACCGGGAGTCCTGCCAAGAAGCAGGTCTAGGTCACACATCAAGAGGCGTTCCATAGGGCAGCTAAGACTGAGCGTAGATTAGCGGTTCTGACGTCACTGGGCAACCATGGCCCCTGAGAGAGCTGACTCGGGCAGGGCTGTCCTGGGAGTGTCTCCAGGGAAGTTCACCAGACACCTGCCATGTGAGCCGCAAAGCCCGACAGTCCCCAGGTCCTGTCCTCTGAGTTGTCAGAGGGCCGAGAGCCCAGATCCCCGAGTTGAAGGGAGGGCAGCCGTTGTGCACCCGTGTGGGCGTGTTCATCCAGCACTGGGGCTCCTGAGCTGCCCTGTACTCGAGAGGCTGGTCTGCTGTTGTCCCACCCCCTCCAGAAGGGAGCCCTGGTCATGCTCACTGAAAGGACAGGGCATGGGAATTCGAGAGCCTCCTGGGCACTGGCATCTGAAGTCTGTTTTGGGGACAGTGGACCTCTTAGCTCGCCTGGCCCCCTGGACCCCCTCCTGGCCTCACAATTCTCCTGGTGGTAACTGGGACCTGCTCTTGGCTCCTTCCTAGAAAACTCTGGTCACCCCAAGTCACCCTGGTTTTGTCCACTTCTGCTGCTGCTTCTGGTGAGATCGTGTGGGCATATCTGTCCTGGGTCCATGCGCATCACCTCTGAGCCTGCACTGCCTCGTACCAGGAACCCCATCGGCACAGTGTCGGTGTCAAGACGGTGGTGTTCCAGCACCTGCAGGCCCTCAGGGCGTTCTGGAGGCTGCCAATGCTAATTTATTTTTATTAAGTGAGCATTTTGTGATGCCATCAAAAACAAGTTTCAGGGACAGCAGTTAGCGTAATGGCTATGTCACTGGACTCCCACGTAGTTGACCGTGGTTCGGGTCCCGGACCCGGTGGCTTAAACTCACGCCGGGCGCGTGTGCGTGCGTGCGTGCCCAAGATCCCGAGAGGAGAATGGAGAAAGGATTGCGGCGTGGCCAACCCCTCTGGGGGGTGATTTCTTGCTTTCTGTCTCTGTCTGTCTGGTGAGTGCACGCGCCCTATAGCAAAAACCTCTCAAAAAAAAGAAAAAAAAATAGGTTTCACATAACAAAAGATTTTCTAAAAGTTACCTGTATCTTAAAAAATTAATATTTATATCAAAAAGTTAAAAATTTGGAAAACTAGTTTGTTTTAAGCTTTTAATTTTGGCTTGTGTATCATTTTTATGGACCTAACAGGTTCTATCCCTCTGAGGGAACCTGGTTCTGTTTTTCTTCATGAGTCACCTTCATTGATGTATAGTTTAATACATATCTAATTAAACTACTGCTCAGTGGGTTTTGACAAGTACCTGTGTCGCCAGCACGGAGTGAACGGGCACATTCCCATCAGCCCACGTTCCCTCTGACCTCTGCTGTCAGACCGCCACCTGCTTGGCCCGAGGCAGCAGCTCTTCCCTAACCGTGAATGAGTTTGGCCTGTTTAGTTTTATGTCAGTGGAGTCGCTTAGCACGCACGGCTTTGTCTCTGCTGTGGCATCAGTGTGTGTCTCTGAGCAGTTGCTCGATTTCAGAGCTGGTGAGTATCATGCCGCATGGATGTGGCACAGTTCATTGGTCTGTGAGTGACCTTGGCAGAGATTCTAGTTTTTCTGACCATCACATTTAAGAGGGTTTTTTTTTTTAAGAATTAATTTCATTTTATTCACTCATCATCATCATTATTATTTAATTTGACCAGAGAGAGACAGAGAGGAAAAGTGAGAAAGTAAACTTCCAGGTCTAGGACTTGAACCACTGTCAGCCATGTGTGAGTCCGTGCTCTAACCACCATGCCACTTGCTGGCCCCTTTAGAAATTTTTTAATTACGTTTTTATCCCATTTACAAGTTTAGTTATTAAGCCTCATATAAAATAGGTATCAATACTACATACAGGGTCTAACCCCATGGCCTGGTGATTAAAAGAGCCAGATCCCACATGGCCAACTACATAGTTCAAATCCCAGCCCAGTACCTTGAAAAACATACTGGGTGCATGTGCATGCATGCCTTAGATCTCAAGAGAGTAGAAGGGATTACAGCGTGACTGTGCCCCATTGGTGAGTTCTCGCGCGTGCTCTCTCTCTCTCTCTGTGTTCATCTCTGTCACATGTGTATGTGCCCTTGGGTAAATTTTTAAAAAGTACTTATAAATACATAAGTAAATATAATACATTTAAAATACGAATGCCTTACATATTTATAATACATATAAACTATAACACAGTACTATATTCACAGTACCAAAGAAAAAGAACAGAGTTGGAGTACTGACACTCCTTAATTTCAAGACTGACTTACTATCAAGCCACAGTAATCCAGACAGTGTGGAATTGACCAAAGAACAGACAGACAGATCAGTGGAACAGAATAGCCTCCAGAACTACCCCACATAAGGTAGTTAGCTGATTTTCCACAAAGGAGCAAAGACAATTCAATGGAGAAAGCATTGTCTTTTCTTTTTTTTCTTTTTCTTTTTTTGGAGAGGTTTTTCGCTATAGGGCACGTGCGCTCGCCAGACAGACAGACAGAGACAGAGAGATAGAAAGCGAGAAGTCACACCCCAGGGGGGATGGCCACGCCGCAATCCCTTCTCCTCCATGCTCCTCTCGAGATCTTGGGCACACACACACACGCGCCCGGTGTGAGTTTAAGCTGCTGGGTCGGGGACTCGAACTGTGGTCGACTACTTGGGAGTCCAGCGACATAGCCATTACGCTAACTGCTGGTCCCATAAAGCGCAGTCTTTTCAACAAATGGTGGTAGAACAAATGAATGTTTATGGAGGGTTTCTTCAAAAAGATCATGCAAAATGTGTATTATGAAAAACTACGCATGCATTAAAGTCTTTTTTTTTTTTAATTTGCTATGGGATGTGGGGCAGGGGAAGGCAGAATAGTTATGCTGCTGGAGCCCCACATGGCCAACTACAGTTCAGGTCCGAGACCCAGTGGCTTCAAATGCACGCTGGGCACGTGTGTGCGTGCCCAAGATCCCAGGAGGAGAATGGAGGAAAAGGATTGCAGCATGGCCATCTTCCCTGCATGGTGATTTCTCACTTTCCCTCTTACTGTCTCTGTCTCTCTCTCCATTGAGTGCACACACCCTGATGCAAAAACCTCTTTAAAAAAATGTGATAGGGTGTGTGTACTTCCTGGAGAGACAGGGAAAGTGAGGAATTACCCCCCAGGGGTGATGGCCACACTGCAGCCCCTTCTCTTCCATCTCCTTTTGGGATTTTAGGCATGTATGAACACATGCCAGCATATTTTTCAAGCCACTGGGTCAGGGACTCGAGCCACGCAGTAGATCTAGTCACTTTAACCACTGTGCCACCTAGCTGGCCCTTCAGAAAAAATTTTGCACCAAAATAAACTCATAGTTTAATTCTATTTTCCCCATAAAGTGTTTTTTTGTTTGTTTGTTTGTTTGTTTGTTTTTAATATGAGAGAGAGTTTTTTTGCTGTAGGAAGGTGTGCTTGCTGGAGAGACAGGGAGACAGAAAGCAAGAAATCACCCCCCACCCACCCCACCCCCGCATGGGGGGGCCATGCTGCAGTCCCTTCTCTATTCTCCTCTTGGGATTTTGGGCATGCACGCACATGCACCTGGCATGAATTTGAATCCACCAGGCCTGGGACTTGAACTGTCATCAGCCATGTGGGAATCCAGCATGGATTTCTACTGCCTGTCCCCTACCCCCAACATTTTTGAAGTCTCCTCATACGTAAAATGTAAAACTATAAAACTTCTTCAAGAAAACATAGGAGAAAATCACATGACCTTGGGTTTGGTGGTGACTTTTTTTTAATTGGCAGAGGGTGTGCATGCTCACCAGAGAGAGAGAGGAATAGGGAGGAAGCACTCTCCAATGTCCCAGTGGGGCACAGTCATGCCACAGTTCCTTGTCCTCCGTTTCTCCCTCCCATTGGGATTTGGGGCACACATGCACATACCTTCGATAGGTTTTTCTAGCCACTGGGGCCGGGATTCAAACCATGTAGGCTGCCATGAGGGATCTGGCTCCCTTAACCACCAGGCCACAGCACTGGCCCCAGTATCGACTTTAGATATGCCACCAATAGCACAGTCCATGAAAGAAGAGTTTATAAGCTGGACTTCATTAAAATTAGGAGCTGCTGCTTTGTAGAAGATTCAATAAGGGAATGAAAAGACAAAGTGACGGGACCAGCAGGTGGCGTGGTGGTTAAGGGCGCTGGATTCCCAC